CCAAGATCGTGCCCCTGCACTCCAGCCTGGGCAACAGAGCGAGATTCCGTCACTCCGTCTCAAAAACAAAAGAAACCAAAAACATACAAACAAAAACCTGTGGCAATGCCAGCAGCTACCTGGTTAAGGTCACCTTTTCTGATTGGCCTTGCCCTCTACACACTACCCATTCATGTTTCTTTAATAAGTGCTTTTTAAATAAGCATTAAGGCAATGTGTTTAGATCTGACTTTGTTACACCATAAGTTTTTCTCTTATTATAAAAATGAATGGCCAGGCGCAGTGGTTCATGTCTGTAATCCCAGCACTTTGGGAGGCTGAGGCGGGCAGATCACGAGGTCAAGAGATCAAGACCATTCTGGCTAACATGGTGAAACCCCGTCTCTACTAAAAATACAAAAATTAGCCGGGCGTGGTGGCACACGTCTGTATTCCCAGCTTCTTCGGAGGCTGAGGCAGGAGAATCTCTTGAACCCACGAGGCAGAGGTTGCAGTGAGCCAAGGTCACGCCTCTGCACTCCAGCCTGGTGACACTCTGACTCCAAAAAAAATAATAATAATGTACATTTTAGGGAATCTTGATAATACAGAAACATTATGAAGAAGAAAAAAGTCACCTGTTAATTCCACCTTACCATTCACAAGAGGGCGATGTTAACATTTGTTTGTATTCTGTTCCATGGTTTTTTTCTATGCCTTTTTTCACTGGACTCAAATTTTGTATTTTGCTTTTTTGCACTTAACTTTGTAACCTGGCATTTTTGTTTGTTTGTTTTTACGAAACAGCCCATAAGCATAATTCTTTTTTAAATTTCATTGTAAATTGACAATTTATAGTTGTATATATTTATGGGGTAAAAAATGATTTTATGATGTATTAGGCTTGATACCTGGGTGATGAAATCTTCTGTACCACAAACCCCCATGACACAATTTACCTGTATAACAAACCTGCACGTCATGTGACCCTGAACTTAAAAGTTAAATTAAGTTTTTAAAAATGTATATTCTGTCCAGTACCATGGAATCTGTTCACTGAAATTGATATTTAACACTAAAGGTCCAATTAAAGCATTTCCAGAACTTAGAAAACAAATATTTTTTCTTGTAGTTAAGTTCTATAGCAGAAAAACAGACAAATAAATACAGTTAAATTTTAATGTATACAATGAAATAATGTTTTATAGTATTATTTAAAACATACCATTGTCTAACAAAATATTAATAACTGTATAAGAGATTTTAGCTATTCTTGCACCTAGTCTCAGATTTTTAAATAAGCCCTTTTTAGATTTAATAAATAACATTGAAGGAAGGTCTATAAGAACTTACTCTCAGAATTAATATAAATGGCCTCATGATCCGCCCGCCTCGGCCTCCCAAAGTGCTGGGACTACAGGCACGAGCCACAGTGCCTGGCCTGCACATTCTATATATACCTAATTTGTTGAGAGTTTTCATCACTAATAGGTGTTGAATCTGTCAAATGCTTTTTTCTGCATATATTTAATGCTCACAGAGTCATAAGGTTTGGATCTCTGTCTCTACCCAAATCTCATATTCAACTGTAATCCCCAATGTTGAAGATGGGGCCTCGTGGGAGGTGACTGGGTCATGGGGGCAGTTTCTCGTGGTTTAACACCATCCCCCTTGGTGTTTTCTTGGCAATAGCAAGTTATCATGAGATCGTGTTTAAAAGTGTGTCGTGCCTGCCCCCTCCTCCTGCTCCAGCCATGTGAAGTGCCAGTTTCCCCTTCACCTTCCACCATAATTGAAGCTGAGCAGATGCTGCCATGCTTCCTGTACAACCTAGGGAACAATGAGCCAATTAAACTTCTTTTCTTTGGAAATTAACCAGTCTCAGGCATTTCTTTATAACAGTGCAAGAATGAACTAGTGCCAAAAATTGGTACTGGGAGTGGGGCACTGTTTTGAAGATACCTTAAAATATGGAAGCAGCTTTGGAATTGGTAATAATCTGAAGCTGTAAGGGTTTGGAAGGCTCAGGAGACAGGAAGATTAGGAAGAAAATTGAACTTCCTGGAGACTTGTTAAATTGTTGTGACCAAAATGCAGATAGATAGTGATATGGACAATGAAGTCCAGGCTGAGTAGGTTTCATATGGAGATAAAATCCTTATTGGGAACTGGAGTAAAGGTCACTCTCGTATGCTTCAGCAAAGAGACTGGTGGCATTGTGCTCCTGCTCGAAGAATCGGTGGAACATTGAACTTGAGAGAGGTGGCTTAGGGTATCTTGTGGAAGAAATTTCTAAGCAGCAAAGCATTCAAGATTTGACCTAGATGCTTCTAAAAGCCTGTGATCATATACCTGAGTAAAGAAATGACCTGAAACTGGAACTTACATTTGAAAGAGAAGCAGAGCTTAAACATTTGGAAAATTTGCAGTCTGGCCATGCAATAGATAAGAAAAATCCATTTTCAGGGGGAGGTATTAAAGCAGGTTGCAGAAATTTGCCCAAGTAAAGAGGAGTCAATTGCTAATCAACAAGACAATGAAAAAACAGCCTCAGAAGCATTTCAGAGACCTCCGTGACAGTCCCTCTGATCATAGGCCTGGAGGCCTAGGAAGACTGAATGGTTTTATAGGCCAGGCTCAGGGCCCTGCTGCTCTGTGCAGCCTCAAGACATGATGCCCTGCACTTTGGCCACTCCAGCTCCAGCCACAGCTAACAGTGATCAAGGTGAAACTTGGGCTGCTGCTTCCGAGGGTGCAAACTGTAAGCCTTGGCAACTTCCACATGGTGTTAAGCCTGCAGGTGCACAGTGAGGCTTAGGAACCTCTGCCCAGATTTCAGAAAATGTATACAAAATCCAGAGAACCTCTAACTAGGACGGTGTGGTGGGGAGATGTGGGGTTAAAGTCTCCATATAAAGTCCCCACTGGGGCACTGCCTAGTGGAGCTGTGAGAAGAGGGCTACCATCCTCCAGACCCCAGAATTGTAGATCCACCTGTTACCAGAAAGGGGTCTGAATCCAGACACCAAGACAGGGTTCTTGGAAGTCATGCAAGGAAGAATTTGGAGCAAGTCCACAGTGCGAAACAGAAGCAACTTTATTAAAGTAAAGGAGTGAACAAATAGTGACTCCATAGACAGGGTGGGGCATTTCCAAAACTATGAAGAGAAAAGCATCCATCCTACTAGGTACAGTGCATATTTAAAACTACAAATGCTTTTGTTCTCAAAGTATCAAGACATTCCTGGGTCTGTTAAGTCCTGAGTGTGTTTAGGAGACATTATTAATCTGTCCCCTCAATTGTAAACATCTTAAGGCTAGGAATGCTTAACCTCCTGGGAAATGCAGCCCAACAGGCCCCAGCTTCATTTTTCTTAGCCCTTGTTCAAAATGGAGTCGCTCTGGTTTGAATGTTTCTTACATATTTCCCCCCTCCCTTTTACAAGAGGACCCTTAATCCTCGGAGTTGCAGAAGGATGAAGGTCCGTCTTCTGTAACTTCTTCATGCTGAACAGGGGCGATGACATTTCCACATAACTATTAGGGTCTCTTGTATTCAGGGTAGAGAGGAGCTCAGTCAGAAAGCGTTGGTACGTTAAGCATCGTTTGCAGCTCTGAGTTCCAGCAAGAGGTGAAACCTGGAAGATTAATAAGTGTCCAATTTAAGAAAGTAGCGAGTAAGCTTATCTTGTGTTCCTATACAAAGAGTGCAACCATACTCGACAACATCAAAGAAAAATAAGTAAAATTATCCCAGGTAAACTAACAGGAAGGCTTTCCAAAGACTGGGCAGTTGTTGGGACCAAGCCGATATGGAGTTGGCTGACAGTGCATCAGTGGCAGAGATACGAGTGTCTAAAGCTTTCTTAGCCTGGGTAATATTATGTGAATAGTCTGGAATGTGCTGCAACATTTCATTTTGATCGAAGCACAAGTTCCCCCTTAAGTTGCTGTTAAAATGGCTTTGCCATTCGGTTTGGTAAGGCCACCTGCCTAATCTGAGCGATGTCCTCAGGAGGGTAAGGGCATGGTGCGTATTACTCAAAGCTACAGCCGTGTGCTTGGCCAAGGCCTCAACTTGCAGCTCAACATTGATCGTGGCTGCCTGTGAAGAAGGTATAGCCATCTGGTGGAAGCAGATGGCTTCTATAATGAGCCTTTACAGTTTTCCAGTTAGATGGAAGTCGGTTTAATTCAGTGAGGATACATCCCAGAGGATAAAGACGACCCCACATACACCTTCCAGTCCACTTATAAGGTAAGTGTCACCAGCTGAGTTCCACAAGCCCATCACCACCTCAAAAAAGAAGAGGCACCAGTTTTTTGTGAATTACTTTGCCATCTCACCCACATTTTGTCTGTTAAAAGAAGGGTCTTACTCAAACTTGGGGAAAATCAGCAGCTAATAAATTATTTAAGCTGTGGTCTGTGCCTCTCTGCCTTGTATTAAAAGAGAAAGCTGAGGCCTTTGGAGATGAATCTGTGGAATATGGGGAGTCTCAAAAACCCAATTTTACAGTAAATACTGAATCCCATTTCTTAGGCTCTGCTCCTTTTGAGGTGCTCCATTTGGTACAGGCACGGTGTGACACCCAAGGCTGGTGCATCAAAACCACTTCTGTGGGGTCTGCTAAATCCACGGGGTGACTGACTGAGAAATTTAGCTCACTGAGATGCCTGGATGGACTGCATGTTCTCTCCACAGCTCTCTGTAACTCTCTCTCGGCTGGCTTTTGAAAATACCAGGTGGCCGCGAGTTGGAGGTGATAATACTCCCTCTTCAGCAGCTCCTGTGTTGTGGTCACATGTCAGCTACTCTTTGCAGCTGGTGAAGGCAGGATCAGGATTGGAATATATGTTAAACAAAGGCTGAATCTAGACACATGCACATCTAAAGGCTTTTCCAGTTCTGTACAACTGAGCCTCAACAGTGTCTGTTACAACAAAATTGTCCTCCAAACATTAATTTGGGATCTTCTCCTATACATGTACAAACAGGGGATTGACTATTTATCCATCTTTGACACTTACGGTGTTCCACCAAGAGGGACACCTTCCAAAGCAAGAAACTGTTGGACAAACTTCAATCAAATGTCTGAGCATGATCCGCCTGGCAGAGGTTTACTTCCTGAAGAATGGATTTCACCTTTTAACACCACTTCACACTGAGGTCCAAATGGCTGCACAGACAGTTTTTAGATCCTAACACAGAAATCTGAGTTGAAGATTCTGAATTCAATTATTTTGTCAACTGTTTTCTGTATTTCCTTTGTCCAAAGGACCTAGCTAGGTGCTGAGGACACAATGATATTCCCACCCTTAGAGCTTGTGCTCCAGAGAAGAACATAGGCAAGGAGAGAGACGATCCAATGCCATCTGCACAGGGGGTGTGAGCGGCCATGGTGCTACAAGCATGCTGTTCACGGGAAATCTGGGAAGAGTGGAGGAAAGCTTCCCAGAGGGAGCCAGCCCAGGGAAGCCGTGGGCAAGCATTCCAGGCACAGGCGTTCACACCGGTGCAGGCAGAACTCTTCTCGTCTTCCCTAAGATCCTAAGAGCAGACTGAACACACGAAAGAGTTCTGTAGCCCAGGCAGGGGCAGAAGCCATTGTGTCTCCGAGCAGAGGGCCCTTGAAGCAAGGGTCACACAAGCAAGCTTGGTACCCTAGACAGGGGAGCTCTGGCTGGAGGCTGATATTCACTTGGGATTTGGAAGCCCAGAATTCATGGGCCCGTAGAAGGAATGGAGAAATATAGCTCAACAGCTGACAAAATCAACAGGTTCTGGGAGAATAAGAAAAGTGAAGGAGAAAAATCAAAGTTGTTGTTTCATGGTTTACTTTTGTCAGAATATACTTAAAATAATCATTTCTTAATATCTATTCAGCTGGTTTGAAAGGAGATTCTCAGTAACAAAAAGAAGAAAATCTGAAGCTAAATGAAAGAGTTTACACAGATTCATGGCATCTATTAGCAAAAGTAAGATGTGGACTTTGTCATTCAGATGGTGGGTTTTGAAGCACATCCAAGCGAGTGGCTGTTTTGAGAGATGAGTAAAACCTTGTCATTATACACATATTTATGTTACCTTTCCTCCCAAACTTGGGGATCCTTTGGAGAAAAAGAAACTACAACCTCCTGTTCTTCTCCAGGTTTAATGAATAGATTCTCTGGATCCACTAAAGAGGGACTTCCTCATTCGGAGACCTAAATAGTGACAGAATCATAATTAAATGCTGACTTAGAAAAACGCTGCTTTCACTCAGTGACTCCTGCCTTAGATTCCTTTCTCATTTACCAGGAGAGGCTATTTTTCCCTGTCTCCCAGTCCACCACAGGCTCAACTCATCCTGTTCTCTTGGAAAGCGCCTCTCTTCCTTCTTTTTCTTCTATAACAAACCTGATGTCCCACAAACTGCACCCCCAATTTCCTGTCACTAACGCACGCTCACTCACCTTCAGGTCTCAGAAAAGAGGTCAAAGTGTGTGGGTCACTCTTCCCCAATTCTAGCCACAGGCTGACATGCACATTTTTCAGAAATCAATCTAGAACTTGCTGTTCACATTCAAGACATTGGAGTCTACACTGAGAGCCCCATAGCATATACTTCATGCTAGAGAAACAGCCAGTGTTTAAAACTCTCAGCGATTCCATCATCTGGTCCTCAGCGCACCCTGAAGGGGCAGGCGGCCCCGGGACCCTCAGAAGGCAGGGAACCCTTCCAGTCTCAGGAAGGACTACGTTATGGTGCTCTGACAATAATTCATACGTTGATATCTAAATAAACTGCAACGTTCCCAGCTTTTCTCAGAGGTAAGGGCTGTTTTGTGGATGGAGCCGTGCTGGCCACCAAGTGCATCATCTTGAAGATGGAGCGAGACAGACCTTTGAACAATCTGTCACCATGAAAGTGACATCAGTCTGAAAGCAAGACAATGAGGCAGAGGGGAGGACTGAGGGTACCTGGAAGTCTCTGGGAGCAGGAGTTGTAGCCCCTTCTGCCCCTTCTTGGAGATCAACACTTCTAAGAACCGGTGGAGGGTCTGGGCTGTCACCTTCTATGTCAACTCTCGCCACGAAGTCTTCTCCTGAGTCCTGAATCTCTAAAATTCAAAAAGATTATTCTTTCAGTTCAGAGACCAGACATACTGAATTGTACATGCCATCAGCAGTCCAAAACAATGTCCTTAGGGGCCACAGAAAAATGTAGGCGAGAAGATTTTTTAAAGAATTTAAAGAGGACTGGAAATGAGTGGAGAAGCAGAAAAAGCAAGAGCACATCCAACTGATACACGAGAGGAGATCAATTGAGAGAATATATCCCAATAGGTCCTCAGTGGTACTTGCTGTGGTCATGCACATTCACCTAGGTTTGACCCAGAACAGCAGGCATCTGCCTCATCGTCAGAACAGCATAAGATACTTGACAGATGACTGGAAGCATTCACATTTACTGGCAGAGGAAATCAGTCTCAAATTTGTGGTCTATTTAGACATAGAGAAAAGCAATTCCCAGAAAACATAAACATGCTACCCGAAAAGCCGAGTTGCTTCTTTGGATTCTGGAAAAGAACCGAAATTATCAGAAATTCTGGACCTTATGAAATACAAATAAAAAATTGTTATACATTAGTATTAAGATGAAATCTGAATGAAAGAAAAGCAGTTTGGAAAACCTTACCGTTTTTGTTTTGTTTTGTTTTGTTTTGATGGAAAGCCCATCCTCTCCTACCTGTCCCTCATAACAGGCAGGTGTCACGTGGTTGATCGCAGGGCAGCCTGCCAGCCGAGGGACCACATCAGTGCAGGGAGCAGCTCCCACAGGAGCTCAGCCGGGTTCCTTGGAAAACGTCAGTCCTTGCCAGGCCACGGTGCTCTGTTCAGAAAGAGAAGGCTCAGTTTCAGTAAAGCCAATAGCAATAAGAATGTGAAATGTGTTAACAAAATCTTTAACAAAAATATTTCAGTTCATAGAAAGAATGTATTGTGTGAACAGCATTTTTTCCTCTATGTTCATACTCACAACACTGAGAATCAGCTTGATTGGTAAGTGGTGTGTGTCCGGTTCATTGCTTTTATTGGCAGGGACCTCCAGCCTCCACAACTCCAGTCACCAAAATCAAGAATGTCTTTCTGTTCTGTTTCTACCTAATTACAAAACAGAAACTGATTTTTAAAAAGCATTATATTAATGAATAGCACTACTTATGTTCATATCACTGCCATTTCTAGCCACAAATTAGGAGCCAGCATGAAGGAGAACTTTCCAATTGCTTATTTTCTACAAAGATAAATGTTAAATTCTTTTTTTGAGGTCTTTTATATACCCAAATAGACCAGAGAATTAAGCTGCTGTTGCTTGGAAAAGACTATATAATCTTCAGATGAAGTGACAATTGTATAAATTATATAGACCTCCTCTCTATTATTAGAAGGTTTTAACAATGAGTCTTACTATTACAATAATGACTTCTCCATTCCCTTCAAAAGTATCCCTTGTATCTTGGCATTGTCCGATTTTATTTTAAAATGTTTAAAATGTATCAAAATAGACGTATTTAAAGGTTACAAAAAGGGCCTATGACCTATTTAAAGATTACAAAAAGGGCCTATGATCGTGAAGAACTGACTTCCTTAATCAGGAGCGACCAACGTAACTGAGACCCCCGAGACCCTCACATACGGGAACATTTGAAGACATGGGAACGCCGCTGGACACCAGAATCTGCGCAAGTCCCTGACATGAAACAGCACAGTACCTGCCTGCAGCCTAGGCACATTCTCCTTCATACTTCAAATCCTTCCTAGATCACTTACAATACTTAATAGAGTGTAAATGCTACATAAATAGTTGTTATACATGATCGTGTAGGGAACAACAACAAGGAAGAAATGCCCGTACCTGTTCAGTACAAATGCAACCATCTTTTCTCTGGGGCGTGTGGATATTTTTCACCCAAGCTTGGTAGAATGTGAGGATGCAGAACCCACAGATCCAGAGGGCTGAATATATTTAACACACACACATTTTGCTTTGTCTTATACAACCATAAAATAAAGGGAAAGCAAAGGCCGCCTGGCAAGAGGGAGCTGACTGCCATGGTGACTCAGCAAGGTCTTGGGTCCAGATTGACCCTCAAGATGGTAAAGCTTTAATACCTTCCAGAGAACAATCGATGTGACTTCAAGCTTGTTGTGGACAGGGAGAGGCTAAAATGAAATTTGAATTCTATACATAAAGCCCAGAAATTCACAGAAGTGTTCTTTTTTTTTTTTTTTTGTGAGACAAATTGTCGCTCTTGCCCCCCAGGCTGGAATGCGATGGTGCAATCTCGCCTCACTGCAACCTCCGCCTCCTGGGTTCAAGCGATTCTCCTGCCTCAGCCCCCGAGTAGCTGGGATGACAGGCGCCTGCCACCATGCCCGGCTAGTTTTGGTATTTTTAGTGGAGACGGGGTTTCACCATGTTGACCAGGCTGGTCTCAAACTCCTGATATCAGATGATCCACCCACCTCAGCCTCCCAAACTGCCGGGATTACAGGCGTGAGCCACGGCACCCGGCCCATCTTTATTTTCTTGATGAATTTCCTGGTATATCTATTTCCACCCTTTTGTTTATAATAAAGATACAAAATTAGCCAGGTGTGGTGGCACACGCCTGTAATCCCAGCTACTTGGGAGGCTGAGGCAGGAGAATCACTTGAACCCGGGAGGCAGAGGTTGAAGTGGGCGACATTGTGCCATTGCACTCTAGCCTGGGCAACAAGAGGAAACGCTGTCTCCAAAAAAAGGAAAAAAAAAAGAAAAGAAAAGATGATGCATAATATTAACACCAGACAAAATTGACTCTAAGACAAAAGGGATAAAGAGAATTTTTATTTCTTTATTTTATTACTTTTAAAGTCTTTTAGGGTCACAGTCTTGTTCTGTCACCAATGCTGGAGTGCAGCAGTGCAATCCTAGCTCACTGCAGCCTGGACCTCCTCAGCCACCAAGCCTGGCTGATTTTTCAAACTTGTTTTTAGAGACAGAGTCTCACTGGGTTGCTCAGGCTGGTCTAAAGCTCCTGGCCTCAAGTGATCTTCCCCACTAGGCCTCCCTAAGTGCTGGAATTATGTTGCTATGGGTTGCTATGTCTGGCCAAGAATTACTTAAAAATTAACCATTCCACACAGAAGACGAAACAATCCTAAACCTAAACATCTGTAACAATATAGCTGTGTAATACCCAAGAAAAAAATGATGGGATGTATAATCCTCCTTGTAGGAGAAATTTCAGATCTACAACCATCTCTCAGAGGCTGAAAGGCTAAGCAAACAAAAATATAAGTAATGATTCCGAAGATTTGAACTACAGAGAAATAAGCCAGAGCTAAGTACATGTAAGAGCTCTGCACCCGCGAGAAGAGTCCTTCCAAGCTCACAGGAGACACCGACAGCAGCTGACCATCCTGGACCACGGAATCAACCCACCTGCCTCCGTCCCACACTCTGACCATGAAGCGGGAAATGGGGGCCGGGGAGAAAGCTCAAGTAGGACAAAGACTCATTTACAAGTTGTCACCTTCATAACCTGCAGGTGGAGTTGACTTCGTGGTCCAGGGATGGTCAGGCTCGCTGTCCGGTGTCTCCTGTGAGCTTGGAA